GTTCAACAGTCTTGGACCCATGGGCATTATGACACAAGGAGAAGACAGACATGTACAGATTGTCATTGGCCCAGAAATCCCCACCTGGTTTAAGTGTAATCGTGCTGGGATGTTGACCGATAAACGTGCTGCTCCTACCTGACGTCTAAACATGCTCAATCGCTCTGCTGTGCCGTCAAACTCGTTTTTGCTTCATGTCTTACCAGATACAACAGCCTGGCTGGGTTTTTGAAGTTTTTATAAAAAAAGGTTTTGTTGCCCGACCACTATTTATTTGAATGAGCATTTTCCTTCCGCAGATATGGGTGTCCTTCTCCCTGTTGGTGGGTTAGCTCGATACCCGACTCGGCGACTCCCTGTTGGTGGGTTTAGCGAAGCATGGACAAATGAACAGCATAGCACAGCCATTGAATTGGGCTTAAGTCTACAAACCAGGATGGATATAAATGATCTGAGCAAACAGCAGCTATTAACGATGCGTTACAAAGGTTAAGTTTGATGTCAGTCAAGCACTTTGAAAGTAGCGTTCACGATCTAAAATGATATTCAACGTTGGTATCGGTTTCTTAGACAATGGCGTTCAAAACTTTTCACACACTCTTCACACTTTGTTGAACAAACATGTATGTCGATATAGAAGAAATCTAGAGAGGAGCCAGGCTCTGAGAGGTGGCCAGTCATCTTCTGAACTTATGATAGTTTAGTTTAATAATTATTAAATGCATTTTTTAAATGCAAATAGTCTTATAAAATAGTCCAGGTCAAATACAGTCAGAAGAGGACGACCGGGAGGGTTGAGGGTTTGGCAAATTATAAATTAACAAAGTTCATCAACTATCAGTAGGAATGTTCTTTCTGCGTCTTCTGGAGAAGGGACATTGAATTGTAATCAACTTTATATGGCTTAGTGTAAAAAGTAACACGAAAGCATATATATATAAAAAAAAGTTATGGTAATTTATATGAAGTCCCCTTTTTAAACATTAAATGTGACAGTTTTAGACGCTATAGGAAGAGCAGTATATTATTGTAACGAGATTTAAAGTGTATACCTTCTTTTTTTATCATTCTGTCCATTGAATCAGGAACATTGTAAAGTTTGTAGCTTTTTCAGGTCCAATATGTAGTATGGTACATTTATCATAGTTAGGCTTTAGACCTGAGGGGCTAGAATATGTATCTAGATCCCCAATAACACCTGCCAAGAATGAAGACTGTGGACTTAAAAGATCATTGGAATCGTCAGCATACGTTATTATTTTTGTCTCTAACCCAGGCAATATATGTTGCTATGGCAAACTGATTAAATAAAACGCTGCATTTTCCAATTTTGCATGGCATATCATGAATTCCTCTTTGAAAGGTGGTATGCTCATAAGATGTCATATCACCTCTTCGTTGAATGTTGCTAATGGTGACGTCTTTGTACTCGTCAGTCAGCAATTTAAACAGTCCGGCGTTTCTTCATCAGACATCTGTGGGCACTATTTGATATTTTTTTGGGTCATTGTCCAACCGGAAGCCCCAGAACCCTGGATAGGTGACTCAGTATCTGGACACAGGGTTCAACAATGTACTCCCAAAACCTTGATAATCACTGATCCCATAACGCCCTTCGCTTGTGTAGATAGGAAAACGTTAATGCATTTTACATGAGCTAGATAAATACATGGGAATATAAATAAAATATAGTCTTCCTTTCTCCAGGGTCATGTAAGAACACCCATCGTTGATCCTCCATCATTGTCCACATGTACTCTTAGCCTCCGCGTGTTTGCCGATGAGAGCCGAACCGTTCTGTTCAAACATAGAGCCTCTCCATTGCTGGGTATCTGCCAAGGACTATTATAGTGCAATGTGTTTGCGCACCTTCGTTCCTGCCTCCGTTCTATCATCTGTCAGTCTGTTTGCTCTCCTACGGTCCCTCTGTCCTTCCCTTAACGTTTGCTTTCTTCTCCCAGGCTTTCATTTATTCTCGACGTGTAATTGGCTTGTCTCTCTCAGTCCGTTCCCGAGCCTCTTGTCTCAGGGTTTGCTCACCTCGGCTCTTCTGTAGATTCACAGAGGCCCTTCTCCTCCTTTCATCTCGCTGTTCTCAGCACTCCCATTAGAGTATGTGTCTTTCTTCTCCATCCATACTCTCCTCCTCCCAATTGGACGGGAGAATATTAGGGTCACAGACCAGTGACCAATTAGAAACTACGGGTCCGCCTTAGTGCTTTCGGGATGCCGGTCCACGATCGCTCAACTAGTGTCCAGCTCTTATAAACGAATATATTCAAGATAAGATATTCCGAGCAATACATAGCAGATAGGCAATTAGCGTATTTAATTGCCCATTAAATTGGCTGGGATGCCTATGTTTGAATGAGTCAATGGTGAAGTGTCAACCGCTTCCTGCCCAGCCATTGCAGATCTCTACACAGCCCTCATTATTATTCAGCGCGGTGCAATACGATACTTCTGTGATCCCCGAAGGGGACAAATGAAATGCACTAGACATGAAGTCACAATACAATTTAGCAAACAACTGATGACATTGGGCCATGAATACATAAAACAAATGGCTTAGAAGGGACAGAAAGCCAGATAACACAAACGAGGGCCTTTCAAATACTGTTCCTGGTGTGACCGATGTGTTATTTAATATATACTTGTTGTATTATTAGTTAACCCCAATCGTTACCTAGAGCGCCCGATTCTACCGGAACCTGGGTTAAAGAGACATGATTTGAACCATAAAAACCATCAGACAGTTGTCCGTGTTAGTCCCATCCCCCGAACACACGGCCGGGGGTGTGCGGCCGGGGGGAGGCTGGGTAATGAAGACAGTGTGAAACCGGACATCCCATTTCATTTCGGATGTGTGACATTTTGCGGTAATGACATTTTGCCCCGTGTTACCGGCAGTCCCTATAGCGCAGCTTGGCGAGAACCACGGTGGAACCGACGATGGCATTCAGCAGGCCAGCTAAGGAGCAGCGATTATGGGATTGTCTGGGCGCTCAAGCGGCGTCTGGCTTTACATGTGGAGGAGTGTAAAGAGCCTCTTGCCTCGGTCCTGAGATAGCAGAGTGATGATAACCAGCGGTCTACTGTTGTCTCCAAGATTGTTCTATCGCTTTTTTTCCTCCATATATTTATAAGAACCAGTCTGCAGCCTTTACTGTTCAGGATAATGACGCACGGGAAGAAGCCGCGGTGAAAGAAAACGTAGGTGAAAGGGAGAGGTTGTAAAAATAAAGAGGCTGTAAAAATGAGAGGTCGTAAAAATGAGAGGTCGTAAAAATGAGAGGTTGGGAAAAGGATAGATCGCGCATAAGAAAATTGGGAAAAAGAGTGACAGGGCAAAAAAAGAAGAAGAAATTAGATGAGTAAGATTGAGAGAAATGAACATTGAAAGAGGATAGAGAGAGAGAGAGATGCATTATAAATGTTTTGGCCATTACTATTACTGACTGCTATTACACATTTTCTTTCTCCACTGTGTAATTAACGTTTTGTAATTACACACTTGAAGGGCCCTTGTTAATCACAACGTTCATGGCTCATGTGACCATGTCATTTTTGACTTTATGTCGCCACCATCACCAGCACATAATCACAGGTAATCCGTTTATTAAAAACATTATGATCTATGATTTAAATAGGCTGTGATATAACTTCAAAAAGAAACCACGAGCATCATCTTAATACGCGAACACACAATACGGAGGTTTATTAAACAAGTAACCTATTTGCCCGAGCTGTATTACTCAATAGAAAACAAAATAATTCACAGTCAGTAAATGTCCCTACTTTTATTATCCAATTATTTGTGACAGGCCATAATAGGTGATAACCTTGACGTGGTCAAAACCATATAAATGCTAAGAAATTAATCATTCTCGTTCCTGAAACGAAATTCTCCACACAACAACCTGAGAAGGGAATTATTACTAGCTCCGCTTTTCTTTTTCTTTTTTTTTTCTTTTTTATTTATTTTATTTTTTATTTTACTTTTTATGGTCTTTTTATGGTTCTGTCTTATGATGGAATGCTACAGTTTGAGGCTTGTTTTTTTTGTTCTTAACCATATGGGTGTGTGCTAATGCATCATGTAAAAACCAGAAAACCAATCCAAGATCCTCACACTAAAATGTGTTCATATCCATAAGTCTGTGAGTGGTTAAAAAGCCATTTTCTTGAAAATGGTATGTACAGTGGATATAAAAAGTCTTAGACAATGGTAAATCATGTCAAAACGTAAATAATTCCATCGAAAAACAATTTGAAATCTTTAAGGGGGGGAATAAAAAAAACCTAATACTTTGTTGAAGCACCTTTTGATTTTATTTCAGCAGTACGTTTTTTTGGGTAGGATTTTGATTTGGCAATATTTGCCCCCTCTTTTGCAAAAGCACTCTATGCACAGGAGTCAGATGGCAGACTCCTGTGCACGTCCCTCTTCAAATCACCCCACAGGTGTTCAATTGGATTCAGGTCTGGGCTCTAGCTGGGCCATTCCAAAATGTTATTCTGGTGAAGCCATGCTTTTGTGGATTTGGATGTGTGCTTTGTGTCGTTGTCTTGCTTGAAGGTGAACTTCCTCTTCATGATTTTAACGCAAGCCTGTGTGCCAAAAAAACCCAGTTCTAGCGGAAGAAAAACAGCCCCAAAGCATGATGCTGCCACCACTATGCTTCACTGTGGGTATGGTGTTCTTTGGGTGATGTGCAGTATTTTTTTGTGCCAAACATACTATTTGGAGTTTTGGCCAAAAAGTTGAAACTTGGTTTCATTAGACTTTAACACATATTCCCACTTCAGCCGGGCTTGGATGTTTTCTTTGTAAGAAAAGGCTTCCGTCTTGCCACCCTACCCCATATATATGGAGAATACAGGAGATTGTTGTCACATGTAGCAGACAGCCAGTACTTGCCAGAAATTCCTGGAGCTTCTTTTTATATAATTGAACCTTCATTTAAGGCCGACAAAGTCTCATTTGCAATGGCAACCAGGGGAAAAGCTGGGGATTGAACCCAGGACATCATACATACAAAGCATGCACTCTACCACTGAGGTACACCAAATCCTCCATGTTGCTGTTGGCCTCTTAAATGTTGCCTCCCTGGCCTCTCTTCTTGTTCTTTCATCAATTTGGAGGGACATCCAGTTCTTGGTAATGTCTCTGTTGTGTCATATTTTCTCTACTTGATGATGACTGTCTTCACTGTGTTCCATGGTATATTTAATGTTTTGTAAATTCTGTTGTACCCTTCTCTTGACTGATATCTTTCAACAATGAGATCCCTCAAATGCTTTGGAAGCTCTCTGCGGACCATGGCTTTTGCTCTGAAATGCAACTAAGAAAATGTCAGTAAAATCCTACTGGAACAGCTGACCTTTATTTGTTTTAAATGATGGCATTTGTGTAATGACTTCTATTTAACATGAGTTTGAATATGATGGGCTAATTCAGGACACAATTATAAGAGGGTGTGCACACTTATGCAACCAGTTTATTGTAATAATCCCCCCCCCAGATTTTTCTATATAATTCTTCACGTCATAGTTCACATTAATGGTGGAACAAATTATTTATCTTGTTATTTCATGTCACAAAAACCTAGCATTTCAACATGGATGTGTAGTCTTTTGATTCCCATTGTATATCATTCCAGTGTCATCTTCAAATCAAGAAAAAAACATACCACTGGAAATTTCAATATGATTGGTTGTCTTACCACATTCAGACCAAAAGCTGACAAAAATGGATTTAGCAATTTAACGATCCAAAACAAACAGACATAGCAAACGTGGAGAGTAATGACATGTCCAAATCAAATCCCGGATCTCAATCATATGGAAATGCTGGTCTGAAACACGATATAGTTCAACGACTACGCTAAAGAACCGAAGGAACCATCAGTTGTTGTAAGAGAACCCTCATACTTCTGATTATTTATTCAATCAACCAATCGATTCATGTTTAACTCACACATGTTGGAATATCTGTGTTTTCTTCCAGTAAAGTGACCCAGTTAATAAAATATATTTCACATCTGGACCTGATGGACATTTTTCCCTTTTAAATTGTGTATGAGGATGCTGGCGTCTTTAATAGTAAACCTCTCTCACCGAGGCTCTGCGAAGTTTAGCGGGATCAGCATCAAAGAGGTCGTTTGGAATAGCACAATCTCAGCCTTTTCCATGTTTGATAGCACGTAGCATATTTAACGGTATGCGTCATTGCGTGATCTGGCCTCTGGCGGCTCCATATCAATTGATTTGCCATACAGTAATCGAATCCCATCGCAGGTCGTCTCAGCGCCATCGATGAATATTTACAGCTTTAATCGCGCGTTAATATTGATGAACGGTCACAGCTGAAACCACACGAAATAAAACATTGCAAAGTATTGTCGCCTAAAAGTATCGAAAGAGAGCGAGAGATGGACTCGTCCTCGTCGAATGATGTTAGCGGCCATGTAGCCCACTCCGATTTTCTTTTGAGTGAAGGAGAAGGAAAGTCATTGAAACATACAAATTACAAACAGGAATACCTTCCTAAGGCATCACCACTTACCTAAAATAAACTGGAATAAAAAGCAATGTAGTCGGAGGGAGTCCAAGATCGCGCTGTTTGAGTAGTTAATAAAACCAAATGTCAGCGAAGAATAGCAACGTAACAGCGTAGCCATGCAAAGTATAAAATAAACAATGGAATTGGAACACTTACCACCAGCTTAATGCATTTCTACACATGTTTGTCCAGTACATCCCTCCCGCAACCCTAAAGAAAGGAAATGTTTCAATCATGGCATTGTAACAACAGATCATGGGCTGTTGGATATAGAGTTTTTAACTGAGACACGACCCTTTGTGAGTTTTCTGTCTAGTGCCTGTACGTGTTCTTTTATCCATCTTTATTCATCTTTTTCTTTTATTGGCCAGTCTAAGATATGGCTTCTTCTTGGCCTAGAAGGCCAGCATTCCAGAGTCGCCTCTTTACTGTTGACAGAGAGACTGGTGTTTAGCGGGTGCTAGTGAACGAAGCTGCCAGTTGGGGAACAGTGAAGTCTGTTTCTTAAACAAGCCATATCAGAATATGTAACTCTGGTCTACAGTGCATCAGATTCATTCTCTTTTCGATATGTGATTCCTAAAATGTGTTCGGAGTGATTTGATATGTCACCCATGCTCCAGGACTCATTGTCTGGATGAGTTCAATTCAATGGAACATTCCAGAGTTTCCTCTACAAGAGCAACCTAGCACACCTGATTCTACAATTTAGCTGAACAACCTTTGGTTACGTGGGGGGGGGGGTACTTTCACTCTTGTTCTGTGGTGGTCGAATTGACCGCTTGTCACAAGTAGTGGACTAGGTCACAAGTGGTAAACACTAGGTTCCCCCTCGGGTGGTTTTATGGGGTGCACTTCCTGTTTTTCCATGATTCTGTTTTGTTCATTAGCACAGCTGGTCCTTGTTAGCTAATCACCGGGGCTATTTCATTCGCTAGTTTGGGTTTGCACTTTGCTTGTCATTATTTGAAGTTACAGGCATGCGTCGGTGAGCGGGCTATTTAATATTGATTGCTGAATTGAATGTATTTTACAGTTTTTTAAGTCACAATCGCTGACTTATCATTTTGACAGTTTATGTTTTACCGTTCGTTTGTTTCATATTGGTTTTATTTATAATAAACACCACCAATGTGATTCTCCGCTCTGCAAGTGGATTTATTCCCACTACCCCAGAGGAGACAGGACACTGGCCTATAATATTCTGGGATATATAATATTCAGCCATAACTCCTTTGTCCAACCAAATTCTACAGCCCTGGATATGTCTACAGCTTTGTTTCCTGATGGAGGAACGCAAACAGGAACAAGTGTACCAGTTGGAGCTTTACACCAAAGCATTCCAACCCTACTCCTGGAGATCTACCACACAGCAGGTTTTCACTCCGACTCCACTTGTAACTGGATTTAGATTTTAAGAGAGAAAACCTAAACGGGGGGTTCCACTCCTGGACAGAGCTGGGCAGCCTTGCCTTATTCCTTCAAATAATAATAACATTTGTCTACATAGGCTCACTAGGTTCAAATTATGTTTTCATTTAGGATTATCAACAAATTTCTTGCGTAATGAGAGCGAAATAGCCATGCTCATGCGTACAATGGCATTATGGACAGGTCCTTGCTCTAAAACAAGTTTGGGGCCAAATCCTCCACTTGTCATGTTTGGACTGTTTAGTTCCAGAACTTTCTCATGATCTGGTACCTCTCTTAAAGAAAAGAGACCTGCAGTTCAAACTATCAACGTTGCGGTCCGCATTGGCTTTATGCATTGGTTCTATTAATAAAACATAATGCTTCTAAATTACAATTAACCTTTTGGTTTCTTCGGGCTTCACGTCCTACACAGAGTACCTTAAATTATGTTCACGACTTGATCGCTAATTGGTTAAAAAAGCTGCAGGTTTCGTGATTCTCACACGAGCCAGTGAAATTGTCTGTTACTCTGTGAAAGTGAGATGTGTTTGTGAAAATAAGTTTACTTGTGCATGATGCAATTCAGTAACACATGGCTGTTTGTTTTTTAGATAGATAACAGTCTTTTGTTTCACTTAACATATGCTAGAATTTGAGCAGTGAATCGCTGGAATTTCCATTCCTAGTGTATATCACGATTGATATCTATTGATATGAAATGCTATAAGATATATTGCCATATAAGCAGGCATATCTGGTTGGTCATTTGGTTAACAACTTTTATACATTTTAGAGCTCTTTACCACAGCTATTTCCTATTTGCAATAAAGGCTTGGAATTAACTAGTAATTAGCTAGAAATGTAAGCTTTTTTGAGAACTGGCACCTCAGGGTCTATCGGCGTCTGACATAACAAGCCGTCGGAAGGATCGAAACATTTTCAGAAACAGCGATGTGCGTATTCTACTTTTCCGACTATCAACATTAGATAAAGACACGGAATGACTTCCTTGACATTTTTTGTTTAAGCGAGAAATTGTATTGCAACGACGACAATGAGTGAGGCGCTTTGATTCCATTTGTGCGTGTATAATCTGTAACATTGAATCTAAGCTGAGTGAATAGACTGAAATGTACCCCCTTGAGAACAATACACAGTAGCGTGGTTGAGATGGATCCAAACGATGCTCTGCTGCGGTCCGCCCGAGGCTATAGAGACAAAGTGCTGATGGGTTCTCGGCAAAAGGAATAGAGTACGAAAAGGAAAACTTTTAAAAAGAAAGATGCTATCAAAGCTGTTCACAGACCCTCATTGTGAACTTTTAATTTGTTTGTGATTCACAGAGATCTGCTGTTGTTGTTGTTGTTGTTTATCCTAGCGGATACAAATATATCCACTTTTCCTGAGCCTTTTTCTAACAAAAAGAGACAAGGACACACATTAACTAAAATAGGGTCAGGGAGTAAGACATGTAGGAACGCTGTGAAAGAGGGAGAACAAGAGTGACATGGACAGAAAGAGAAATAAGGGCCGAGGCGAACAAGATGAAAGAAAGAGACAGAATGGAACCGGGACAGAACGAGACACTAGAACCGGGACAGAATGAGACACTAGAACCGGGACAGAATGAGACACTAGAACAGGGACAGAATGAGACACTAGAACCGAACCGAGACAGAACGAGACAGTAGAACAGAGACAGAACGAGACACTAGAACCGGGACAGAATGAGACACTAGAACAGGGACAGAATGAGACACTAGAACAGAGACAGAATGAGACACTAGAACCGAACCAAGACAGAACGAGACACTAGAACCGGGACAGAACGAGACACTAGAACCGGGACAGAATGAGACACTAGAACAGGGACAGAATGAGACACTAGAACCGAACCGAGACAGAACGAGACAGTAGAACAGAGACAGAACGAGACACTAGAACCGGGACAGAATGAGACACTAGAACAGGGACAGAATGAGACACTAGAACCGAACCGAGACAGAATGAGACAGTAGAACAGAGACAGAACGAGACACTAGAACCGAGACAGAATGAGACACTAGAACAGGGACAGAATGAGACACTAGAACCGAA